CAAAGGAAGCGACGGGCTGCAGACAACAACGAGGCAGAAGAGGGAGAATGATCACAGTGGACACTGATGACACCGCAGCTACACCTGACTTCCTAAGACACCTGATATCCGCAGCCAAGTCGGAAATTCACCGCCAGACCCAGGTACAGTGGGAGCGGGACTGGGAGAACGAGTCATCGGGGCGAGCCACCTACGCGCTCACACCCGCACCAAGCCCCACGGTCCTCCATCTACACCACTCCTTACACAAGGCCCTCAGTTCAACCATCGTACAGATGCGCACCGGCAAGATTGGACTACGACAATTCCTATATGAAAGAAAGGTGCCAGAGATCACTGACACCCTATGCGAATGCGGTGGCGGAAATCAAACAGTACGGCACGTCCTATTAGCGTGCCCTAGGTTTAACAACCTCAGAACGGAAACATGGGAAAACGGGGAAGGAAGGGGGGAAAGGTTGGATCTCAAGGAGATCTTGACGACGCCTAAGCTAGCTAAGAAGGCTGCAAGATTTATGATCTTAACTAGACTCCTCGGGCAATATGGAGCAATTACGGAGGACAAAATACGATAAGGCATGCACTGAGTTCTTTCGGTTTATAGGACAAACAGGAGTCAGGGGGACCCACTGGAGGACCTTGGCTACCATCTAGACTGTATTATATGATGTATATTAGCTATAGATACCCATCGTCTGCATAGCTGCGGAAAGCGGCTGGGCCGGACGTTAAATTGAATAGAAGAAGAAGACTACTTCTGTGCTGGGACTACTTCTGTCCTGGGACTACTTCTGTCCTGGGACTACTTCTGTGCTGGGGCTACTTCAAGTTACAAAAAGTAAAGGTCCACAAAGTACTATGTGAGGCAGATGTGAAGAGCGGGAGACTACAAGAGCAGACGAGACCAAGGAGTAGAGAGAGAAAGGAGGGTGTGTACAGTACATAGCCAAAGAAACTTGAGGAACTCCAGCAAAGGCTGTGTGAGCTGTGGTGGGTCCCCGAAGCAAGGAAAAATATATAAACCGCAGCCGGAAGCACTATGCTGAACTTTGGTATTCGTCCTCTTGGCACAGGGGCCTCCTTGGATATTTCCAACGAGCGTCAGTGACCGCAAGGTGCCCGCTTTTTCCGCCCCGCGATCGAAAGCATACCTCAAAACCATAGGGTTCATTTACTGTTAAATGCGGTCATACTGATCATTCAAAATATATGAGAATTTTTACAGTACTGTACAGTACACTCTAGGAATTTCTCTAAATCCACTCCGGATCCATATTTGAGGCCAATTCAGAAAGGGCAATTTTGTATTAATTACCCTGTGCCATTAACTTCTATTTACCATGTTATGCTACTAACTCTAAAGATGAAGAAACAGAATTATTTCTAATCTATCTGGAGGCCCTAAAATTTACAAAGGCTGGGTAGGGGAGTCCGAGCGAACCGTAGAATGTTTTCCTTGCAGCTGATGGCCCCGCCCATACTGGTCAAACTTATTGTCTGGTCCCATCTCAGCTCTCACAGGGCCTTCAGACACACGACTGCGATCCCGGGAAAGCTGCTGAAGAGTTTCGTCTGACATTTGCCCCAGCCACTGTGCTGACCTAGATCCAGTTGTGATACGCTTCGCAGAGATGAGCTCTCCCAGTGTTGAGACAATGACTTGATGAGCATCATCAGCCGAGAGAACATCTTCGAATTCGTTGAAGCGCACCTGCTTTGTTTGCTCGGATGCTTCAGCACAAATGGCTAGACACTGTCTGAGGCTATTTCTTTCTTCCTGGAATTGCTCCCACTCGGCTGTTTCCTCCATCTTGGCTGCCTGCGACATCGCTTCCAGTCTGGCCTTTAGTCTTTCGGCGTGTTTGTGCTCAAGGGCGTCCGCGCAGATTCGGAGGCACTGTTGAGTACTATTCCTTTCCTCTTGTATTCGGCTCCACTGCATGCTATCTTCGTGCTCCATCTTGGTTCCCTTTGGAATGAACGAGTCAAGTTTGTTTTCAACGTCCTGGAGATGATCTTCAAGATCAGAGGTTGTGTTTTTTATCATATCTCTATACTCGTTGAGGACGGTAGCAGTAACAGTTGTTCTGCGGCTATAAGCCATATCGTCTGCTTGATTGGGAAGATACGCCTTAGAGAGACATACAAAGTCGCATCCCCGAGTGCAATATTAACTGTAGATTTGTATCCTGCCAGCATCAATCTAAATCGGCCTATGTGTGTCATTGCTGGGACGCCAAGACGTGGCCTGTAGCGGGAAAATGGCTTGGTGTGCTCCTGTCTCAGATAAACATGGGCACGTCAGGCCACGCAAACCAACCAAATCACGGCTTGGCGCCCTTCTGGTCCGGACCGCGAAGGGCACAGGCTTTTGGTGGGATCACGGCTTGGTGTGCTCCTGGCAACATCTCACTGTCCTATTCCTGCTTCGATCAATGGAAGCCCTGAACGCCACAACATACATGTGATGACCGTTGAATCATGTATGCTGACCAAATTGCCTGCTGGCTTGCGTACAAAACGTTAAAATGTGAAAATGTGAAATTGCGAAACTGCAAAAATTGCTTTTTCACAGGAGTGCAGAAATGCAAGTCCACCAATGTGTCAAGAAAAATCTAAGATGCCTTGCCAGTCATGTCAGCACTGGGCCTTGCTAAGCTTTAACCATCAAAAGGTGGCCCCTGGATGACGTCATAGGTAGAGAACCTTCCAGAAGTCATGACATTGAATTGATGGTCTGGTGCGGCATCTCTAGGCAATCGCTTCCATGAGCTATTTCCTCACAAGAGGATTTTTGTCACAGAAGAGGCTTTTTAAATAAATACTCTTCAGTGGCCAAACTTCATGATATTTAAAGGCTGTTAAAAAATCCATGTGTTCTAGCATCTGACAAGGCCTTCATATCTCAGATAGGGATACAAGAGAATGCCTTTGTGAAACTTGGGGACTTGAGAACTCTCACTCAAATCAAGTAACTTCATGTGTCTAAAAATATCTCAAGCCAAGCTAATTAAGAGAATCATTTTATTCATACAAGCCTCCTGTAAGTGTTTTCTCAGGTTGGCTGAATACAACGAATTTGGCGATCCGGCAATCCGGCGATCCGGCGATCTGGTGTGGTTGGTACGGACCCACATAGTTTTTGTAGCGATCACGGCAGTAAGTCTCCAATTGTTTCGAATGCGTGCGAAGGCGTCTAAATGTATTCCTGGTTGATCCATGAAAAATTGTCGACTCACCTGATGTAATCAACAGAAAACCCGTGCTGTGGCCCTTCGACTGTTTCGGCCCCGCAATCGAAAGCATACCTCAAAACCATGGGGTTCATTTTTCTGTTAGGGGAGAAGTTCCCATAGGGAGTAGCACCCATAGGGGAGGAGCGCCGCCCACAGGGGAGAAGATACTACTGAATTCGTTGTAATTTACAACAAACAAGATATTTCATTTATTCACACTTATTCTCAAGTTTCCCTTGCTTCCCCACTTCCCCCTCTAGACTTCTGATATTTCGTGTGGCTCTCGCATGTTGTTCGGGGTGGAGGGGAGTAATTCCCCTGTTTCTGTAAGAGCTACGTCTTTCCAGGGCTGTACCGGACATGGCACTCACTCTACCTTTGTTGGTGGTGGAAAGTCGCTGCTCGAAGCATCAGACTTTGGGAATATCAATTTATAGAAATAAGGTGGGCTTCATTGAGCCAAAAAGTCATTTTTCAAAATATCCAGCAAATTCAACTTTGAAATCAAACTAGCCAACTCAATCTTGAGCCACTAGTCAGCAATTCTCGGGCGGATAGGGTGACGGGCGGATAGGGTGACGGGCGTAGTGGTCGACGGGCGTAGTGGATGACGGGCGTAATGGTCGACGGGCGTAATGGTGGATGACGAGAACAAAGAAATTCAATTGTTAAGACAATTCTCCCCTGTGGGCACTTCTCCCCTGTGGGCACTTCTCCCCTCTTTTGTTGCAGATTGTATAGCTGCTGAGCATGGGGCAGGAATTATTACGCAATTTCCATGCTGTATTCATATATTCAAGTGTTTTGATCATAGCATATGTTGTCGCCCGGTTTTTTTAACATCTGTTCCAGCTGCAATAACTGTTGAAGCAAGTGATAGTAGTCGTTCTCATTGAAGTGTTATTGTTCTGTATATGTTCTAGTAGAGGCAGAATGCCTAATATATATACAGATACACGTATGAGTTTCAGGTCTCTTACACGTGTTTCAACCACAACACAATTCGACACTCTCTAATCTGTACTCTCCACATCCAACAAGCTGCAAGGCTTAGCCGTTTCTTGGTGTATGGAAGTGCGTGTTTCAATTTTAAGAAAATATGCTCCGCTATTGATGAACTGCCACAGGTAAATTTTGAGGTGACGCAGGCGTCACAGATATCACAGCAATCTGAAGTATTACCGTTTGTCGGTGAAATTGGCGATATGTCTTTCTTTATGAGTACTGCTTACATGTACTTTCCGTTTATGACGGTTGAAGTGAAGTGTGGAAAGGCGGCACTCGATATAGCAGATCGACAGAATGCGCACAGCATGACTCTCTCAGTAAGAGGAGTTGTCAAACTCTTCAGGGCTGTGAAGCGTGAAAAGGAGCTAAATCGGCAGATTCTTTCCTTTTCAATTTCGCATGATCATCGAATGGTGAGGATCTACGGTCACTATCCAGTGATTGATGGAAATAAGACCACCTATTACCGTCACCCCATTCATGAGTTTAGTTTCGCAGCGCTGGATGGCAAAGAGAAATGGACATCCTATAAGTTCGTGAGGGCCTGCGACTGGGCGCTTTCTCACTTCAAAAGGTTGTGCTCGGCTATTAATGGGCTACCGGAGATTAACCCAGACGTATCACAGCAGCCTGAAATATTACCGCAGCCCGAGCCGGGTTTTTCAGAATCAACTGGACTTTCACAAGGAATTGAGGGTGTCGATGTACAAGATTCAAGCTTTACATCTGGAAGAGGAAGCCCAGCCATCTCCCCCGATTCACAGGTTCCCCCCTCAGGTCCTCCGCGGGAAAATGAAGGGAAATCCTCAGAAGCATTCAAGTTGCCCCAGAAAAGACGCAAATAGATATTTAGATAATCAAATCGAGTAATTCCGTTCCAGTGATATATTATCCTTTCATTTTCAGTCCAAAAACTTATGAATTAGTTCTTCAATCCGAGATGATATCACGCCAAAAGG